CTGCAGAGGGTGAATGGTCGAGGAGACGTAACCCTCCCGGCTGGTTGTTGACCCATTAGTTGGGTGAATTGTTGGGGTTTTGCCCTTCTGCAGATGACGCAAGATTGAGTTGTTCCATCAAGGGTCTAACATTGGACCAGAAATTGGCCAAAAATTACGTCGAATGGATGAGAGCAATAGATTACCTAGGACCTGCGTGTAATAATTTTAAGTACTCTGAGTAGAAAATTAGCTTTGTTAAGGGATGCTTTGATGGCAAGACTGTTGGATTTTGTGCATCAAACGAAATGGGTGCATGACTAAGCCTACCGCCAACCCATGAATCATGTGAACTTCACTTACTTCAAAATAAGAAGGATCAGCTAGACTTTTCTCAATGTTAGACGAAATTTCTTGAATTTTTGGAAGTGGGGAATTTGGTATCAAGACAGGTAAGGACGTAACTAATAGAAAAGGAATAATGGCATTATACAGGGTGTTTCAGACCACCCGTACCAGGCCTTTTTCTCGATTGTTTTAGGTCGTATGAAGTCGGGGACCGCGGGATTGAATAGGGAATTGACCCCAAGGAATCCGAATTTCGTGGTCCCGAAACCCCCCCCCACCCCCCCTTGGGGAGTAAAGGGGGGGGTCACGATGCTAAAAGTCACAATTTCTGACCGAATTGCGAATGAATCGCATCACAATTGAAAAGCACGGAAAATTTCATGTGAAATTGACGCCTAAAAATCCATAATCGGCCCATCCAAGGCCCATAAATGACCCCCTAAAGAGGGGCACAGTACCCCCCTCCATAATTTCTCTTTGGTCTCAAAATTGACGTAGATTCTCCAGAATAAGATGGTTTCCGAGGTAATCGACCCCGAGAAATCCAAATTTCATGGTCCCGAAGCTCCTCTTCCTCCCCTTGGGGGGCAAACGCGGGGCCCAATTTTTAAAATATGGGCTCCTTTCCGAATCGCAAATGGATTGCATCCAAATTGAGCAGCAGAACACATTTACATCTTAAGTGACCCCCAAGAGTTCTAATTGACCCCCCTGAACGGCAGAAAGTAACCCCCTGAGGAGGGGGGCTTCGCCTCCTCCGAAAATTTCTCAAGGTTCCTCTTTGGTCGCAAAATTGACGTCGATTCTCCAGAAAAAGACGGTTTTCCAGGAAATCAACCCCGAGGACTCTGAGTTTCATGGTCCCTAAGCTCCGCTACCCGTCCTTTTGGGAAGAAACCGTCTTTTTCTGGAGAGTCGACGTCAATTTTCCGACCAAAGAGGAATCTTGAGAAATTTTTGGAGGGAGCGAAGCCTTCCTCCTCTGGGGGTTACTTTCTGCCGTCCTGGGGGATCAATTAAAACTCTTGGGGGTCACTTAAGATGTACAAGTGTTCTTCTCCTCAATTTGGATGCAATCAATTTCCGATTCGGAAAGGAGCCCCGATTTTAAAAATTGGGCCCCCGTTTGGCCCCCAAAGGGAGATAGAGGAGCTTCGAGACCATGAAATTTTGATTTCTCTGGGTCGATTATCTCGGGAACCATCTTTTTCTGGAGAATCTACGTCAATTTTGAGACCAAAGAGAAATTATGGAGGGGGTACTGACTCCCTCCTTAGGGGGTCATTTATGGGCCTTGGATGGGCCGATATTGGATTTTTAGGCGTCAATTTCACATGAAATTTTCCGTGCTTTTCAATTGTGATGCGATTAATTCGCAATTCGGTCGGGAATTGTGACTTTTAGCATCGTGACCCCCCCTTTACCCCCCAAGGGGTGGTGACCGATACGACCGATTACGCTGACCCGATTCCGGAAACAACCACATGTACGTTTTCTAATGGCAATCCTAATTCTCGCGCAGATTTGTGTGATTTTAAGTTAGATTGTGAGGCGCAATCTAACAGAATTTTGCACTTTCTAATAAGACCCCTACCATCAGCTACTCCAACAAGAGCAGTTGATAGTCATACTCTGTCCTGCTGTTTCAATGTAGAACTGTTCTTTGAAGCACCATGCCAAGTTAATGCTTTCTGCTTGCTAGATTGAGTGCCTTTACTATCAGGGATGTGGATGAGAGTGTGATGTAATCCACCACATTTTAGGCAACGTCTGGCAGACTCGCAAGCATTGGTTTTGTGATCCAAAAAACAGTTTTTACACTTAGATAGCGAGCTTATTTTGTTTATTCTATCTTACACCGAGAGAGCTTTAAATGTGGGGCAATGATGCGTGAAGTGAGGTTGAGAACATGTAAGGCAATTGGAACTTTTTTGTTTTGCAAAGGAGCTCGTTGTAATGGACGACGGATTGTTCAGAAAAGAAACCACCAGAATAATTAAGAGCTTCCAATACATGGCTTTGCCTCTTCAAAAAGTCAAATAACTGTTGCCTACTTGGAGGCTCCTTACCAGGGGCTACCCTTTCCCACTCAGCTAACGTGAAGGAATCAAATTTTGATATTATCAATGTGGTTATGAGTGAATCAATATTTAAAGCTGCGAGTCCATGCAAAGTTTGTTGAACACGCAGTAGCATGTTCTGAGCTGATTCCCTAGTGGAAGTAACGCAAGGCAGGTTCAGCAAAATGCTGGTTTGTTTATGTATTATAGAACGTTTGTTCTCAAAGTTATCATTAAGAAGCTTCAAGAGCTTCAGCATAGTTTTCGTTGGAAGTATCTAAGTTTTGCAAAACAAGCGAGGCTGAACCTTTTAGTGCTGATTTTAAGAAATGTAATTTTTGTATCGGAGTTAAAGTCACATTTTTATCTATTAAAGAGTAGAACATTTGTTTGAATGACGTCCATTTTTCAAATGACCCATCGAAGGTTGGCAATTCTGCCGGTTTCAAGTGGCAACGAAATTTAGGTCGAGCATTTGAAGAAGTTGCTTGCGATGAATGAATAGAGGTTGCAATTCTGGACTTTGCCGCGGTAATTGAACCAAAATACCTGATTTCAAAATCACTAATCAACCCAGAAATGTCTCCCTGTTGAAGTGAGGACAGTTCACTTAGGACACGTAAGTATTGAAAAAGTACCGTAATATGGGGTAAATGGGGACAGTTTTTTATACAAATACACGTCTGAGGGCCTACTGATTTCGAGAATTCGGTTTTTTTTTAACAGGAAGATGTGACCTTGTAAGACCTTTACTTTCCCCCAAAATTTTGATGATACGAAAATTTTAACTATTTTAATTTTGTTGTTTTACCTACTGTCCCTATTCAGCCTCCACTGGGGTGAATAGGGACACCAGCAGATTTCAATGTAAATAAAGCGTTGTTCCCATTCTGCTAACTGGAGAGTGAATGGAGACACTACCTGAGTTCTAAAAAAAAGTGAAATTCGAATCTGAATTGGAAAAACATGTCTCTAATTAACAAACATTAAATAGTAAAAAGCAAACAGATGACAATTGTCCTTTACGCCCTGATCATTGTGAGATCTGAAAGATAAATTCCTCAATTATACCAGGGCAGTATTCAAAAGCCTCAGAATATGAAATAGGTACAATAAAGTATTCCAAAGGGTGTGATGAGAGGCGGAAAATTTCAAAGACAGCCCCTCCCCAGTGCCTGAGTCTATGATACTCAGACTCCCAACTGCTCATTTTTTGGAGAAAAATGTTTTTTAAACCACCTAAATATCGAGCAAATTTCATCATTTTTGGTGATGAGCAAGGTAACTAATGATGTCAAAATGTGATGACATAAAAAAAAACTTTTCTTTAATTCGTGATCCACTTGCATGGGACGTTATCACGCTTGTTTTATCGCTTTTTTCCGGATCTGGTTTTGAGGTTATGTTGGCATTTTATGTTTTCACTAAACAACACCGATTACACCGGTTGAGTAAAGAGGATGCCAAACTATAAATTTTCGGGGAAAAACGAGTTCTGTAGGTGCCAAACTTACCGAGTTATGACTGAAGAACGGAAATAAATCAAAATTGTCCCTATTCACCCGCCTGTCCCCATTCACCCTATATTACGGTATGGGAGTAATAACTGACAATCGAGATTCCAGCTCGATTGTAGTTACGTGAATATCGGAAGCAGCGATTGAAAAGCGAGCTAATTGCTCTTCCAACTGCTTTTTGGTCATTTCTAAGCATGTAAATTTGAGTTGTTTATCCTCCATGATGCTTGCGTTGAATTAATAGAGGAAACAAAATAATAAAAAAATGATTGATTATGCGCTTAAAAATAAATAATAAAAAAAATATAGGGCATAATCTCACTGAGACATTCTTGATGCAACATAGGATAGACAAATGAATAAGGGCAAACGGACAAATCAAAATCAACAAACTCAGCTGATCTGGAGATGAGAGAAGGACAAGGTGAATGTCGAGAAATTGCTAAGCTATGGCAATAACAGCAGGATGAAGGGAAGCAGATGAGGTTATATGCATTCCAACAGCAGATTTACGGAAGACAGGAAGAGAAGTCATCAGATGAGAAGGTGGAATGAAGGGAGAAATGTGTCAGGATTCTTGAAGGGTTGCCGGGTTACAGAAGCCAGACGGCTGCGGGGGTTGAGAGCGGACTGGCGGATCAGCTGATGCCTTTGTGGCACTTTTTCGAGAAAAGAAAAATAGACTGACGAATTTTTCACTTTGTTCGGTTAATTGAAGCTTTTTGGATAATTTCACTTAAAAATCACCAAATTGTACCAAATTTTAACGCACTTATTCGCGTCAGGGTCACCATAATATGATCACGAAATCATATAGGGAAAAGGGAAAGAAAACAGGGAAATAAGAGGGTGGATGACAGATATATGTAGGAGCGACCGTGACAGGACAAGTAAATGCAATACAATGAAGAGACGTCACTACGGAAACGCATACATGCAGTGTCCTGCTATTTTAACGAGAAAATGTTACCCTCCTTCCCATTAGTTCCCATAAGTTTTAGAACACACTACTTTGACGACCCAAACAGATGGCGTTGACGTGACGTGATCTACTACTCTTAACGAACGTCTGCAAGTTCAGAGGATTTATAATTACCAAGCATATTGTTGTTTGCCAAGTCAAATTTCCCAATTTCCAGAAATCGTCCACCTTGTGCCAGACAACGGACAGAGGCTTGCAATTTTTCCTCAGCTAGAGAATTTAAGACCAAGTCGACACCTCTTCCATTTGTCTCCTTCATAACTAGTTGCTCAAAAGATGTATCGCGTGAATTCCCAATATGATTATCTGTAATCTATAAAAAGAGAGAGGAAAAGATAGGTAATTGGAATAAATGTTGGATACTTTTGTTTTAGGCACTTACTTTTCCGTTGTCCTCAATAGAATACAAATGATAATTTGGGTACAGATATTGTGCCTGATCGTGCAAAAAATACAAATTAAAATTAAAGTACAAGAGGTGGGCGGTGCACATTGGTCCACGGCCTAGATTTAATGGAACCGGATTTGGGAAGGTGGTGCATCGTTTTAAAGTTCAGCCCTTCCCCTCTCCCTAAATGCGTACTATAACTTGAACAAACTACCAACCTGAGGGAACATTTTTTTAATGAAGGCTCTCTTTTCTGGAGTACCAACAGTTGTAAAAACTGTACAGCCATAGAACAAACATAACTGGATTGCAGAGAGACCCACTCCTCCACTACCGGCATGAATTAACACTGTGTCTCCTTCTCTCATTCTCCCGCAGATCATTAGCGCATAGTATGACTGAAAACAAAGACATTTTCTTGCGATCATAAGACATCCACCAACGACATCCTCTTCCAATTCGCAAGGAAAACTGGGTTGTTTAAAAGTTTGCGCATTCCACAGGTAAAAGTAAGCTATATGAGGATTCTATATGAAATCTCTATCTATGAAAGGGCTTACAGCTGGCTGTAGAAAGTCATAGGTTGAGCGCGTGTTGTATAAGCTCACACAAATGGCAAATAACGTCTCTTGAGGGCAACCATTCACCATAATTTTGCTCTAACTGCCTCAAGATTCTTTCGAAGTTTACACGACATCTTTGCCTGTGCTTGCAGAGCCTAGTTTAAATGAGATTTAATCCTCTGGCATGCATTTCTTTTCTTGTCAGACATAGAACATTGCTCTTAATGAACAATGATATGAATACACAATTTTTATTTATTTTACTCATCAGATTTTTTATAGGTAGCAACATATCTTTAACATGGAAAAAGATGAACTTGCAAGGACAAGGGAAAACAAAAATTAGTCTGCGCTACCATATAGAAATCTACTTACCGTGCCGTAAGTGACTGGTACAGTGGCAGCCTCTTCAAGAGACCAGTGATCTGGGATTGGCCAGATGAATGATTTATCTCCTTTCAACACTGAAGCCATACCGCGCGAAAAGCACATACCCATGACACGCTGGCCAGTGGCATCCCTGCCAGAATATTCCAAACCCAGTACACACTCCTGCAGAATTTCAAAAACTTTCAATATTAGTATTCAGTATAAAAGCGTGCAAAAATTACAAATGGAGCTAAAATAAGACATCCTCAGAAAACTTTGCTAAAACCAAAAATACTTATTCGACAAAGCCTACGTGTTCCTTTCCGTGGGTGAGACCCAATCAAAGAGTCTTCCTTTCAAGTGCCCTTTGTCAGAAAGTCCACTCAACTTAGTGTCAAACTATGATTAAAATGTAAGCTTATGATAACACCTTAGCTCGAAAAAATTTGAAGATGCGATTGGGAATGCTTACCAAGTTATAAAGAGCAAAAATGCCAACATTTTAGCAAATTCTTCCCGCATGTTTTCCTTTTTTTGTGCACAGAACGTCTAGTAAAAAATAAGAACCAACTTTTAAAGAGGCGTAGGAAGGGGGCAGGGGGGGCCTGCCCCCCTAGAATTGGGAATAGTATAATTTGCCCCCCCCCCGAAATTCTGGATGGTGGGTCATTCCACGTCAACGCAACCAAGGTCGGAACCCGACCCCCTCCGATTTGGCTGAAAATTGGTATACGGGGTCTTAACATCATTCTAAGAATCTAATTGGAAGGGTTTTCCCATCCGACGCCCCGTTCGCGAGATATCGACCCCCAAAGATGGGGTGAATTTTAGCGATATTCAAAAAAGGCCGTTTTAGCGATTCTCATTTCCTCGACTTCCCTCTCTTTGACTCTCCATAGCGAGACTCTGTATCAATCCATCCTACTTTGAAAGAATATTTCTAGACCAATTGTTCATGTAGATTCCGAATATGCCATCGAAATTGAGCTAAAAATTATTTAAACGGCCGTAATTTAGAGTTTTTTATAATTTACAATTTTTTCGCCATTCAATGTTCAAACTGAATTATCTAAAAAACAGTCTCTCCGATTTTTGATTTTTTTTTTTATACTTCAAGCTTAGGATAAATACTTCCGGTTGATATACTTTTTTCAATTGCCATCGGACGGTTAAGGGCCTAAAAAAATTCAAATAGGCTAAATAAAGGCCGAAAATTGGTAAAACAGGACGATTTTTCACATGTTAATCCGAATATTTCGACAATGAACTCTTCAATTATCGATATTTTTTCCCACTTTACCCTCTAACATGTATAAAATCAGACTATCAACGCTTCCCATACATGCACCGATCGATTAAAGACCTGATGGAAACCGAAAACCGACCGAAAATCCTCGAAATTGACGCAAAAAGACGATTTTTCACACCGTAACCGATGCATCCCATAGACTGTAACTGCAATTTCCAATTTTCTCTCTCTACTTCAACCTTAAGGTGTATACTTTCGAGTAATAAACCCTTACTAACGTGCATCGATGGGGCACGGATCCGAACGGAAATGAAAACCGGCCGGAAATGCTCAAAAATGACGGGAAAATGCGACTTATTGCATAGTCAGGGGAGCATGTGTTCGAAAATTACGTCCCGTTTGCACGTTTGTGATTCAAGTTTACTCTCTTCATTTTGGTCCCTATAATGAGACAATCTTTGGTGGCCTCTCCGATTTTGATGTGAAGGCCCCAAAAACAAGATGGCGGCCAAAATGGAGGCTGGAATTGAAATTTTGGTAAAACGGCACAAAACGTCAAGAGAGGTGTCGATTCTCATGTTCTTGGGATCGTAGATTCCAGAAAAATTGTCATGCAGACCCCTCGACCCACGGAAATGCCCAAAATCCAAGATGGCGGCCGATTTTGGCTCTTTAGTGGCTAAAACGTCAAATGAGGAGCAAAGAGAGGAGTAAACACTCTAGATATCTGATTTCGAGGTCACAGATTCCAAGAAAATAGGGGGAAAAAACATTTCATGCCAAATGGTGCTGATTTGAACCATGCAAAGGCCGAACTCGGCAGTCATTTTGATTAGAGTGTTCAGGAACACTCTGATCGAAATAATTTTCCGGGTCAGTTTCTATAATTACCATTATTGGTTTTTTTCAGGACCGGTGCCCCTGCAGAATAAGGGTAAATTTGTTCTCAAATACGCAATCTGAAAATTGCGTTTATTCTTCCCGATCACCCCTCAGTTTTCCCGAAAACTAACCAGGATAATGACCATTTTTCCCGAAAAAATTGTCATATTTGAATTTTTTTAGGCCCTTAATCGTCCGATGGCAATTGAAAAAAGTATATCAACCAGAAGTGTTTATCCTAAGCTTGAAGTATAAAAAAAAATCAAAAATCGGAGAGACTGTTTTTTAGATAATTCAGTTTGAACATTGAATGGCGAAAAAATTGTAAATTATAAAAAACTCTAAATTACGGCCGTTTAAATAATTTTTAGCTCAATTTCGATGGCATATTCGGAATCTACATGAACAATTGGTCTAGAAATATTCTTTCAAAGTAGGATGGATTGATACAGAGTCTCGCTATGGAGAGTCAAAGAGAGGGAAGTCGAGGAAATGAGAATCGCTAAAACGGCACTTAAGCAGCACGTAAAAGAAACAAACCATCAATTTGATTATGATAACACCAGAGTGCTAAAACAAGAGAAAAATGAGCAGGTCCGTTTAAATTTAGAAGGGTTAAGCATCCTTAAAAATAGCAACGCTCTGAATTCACGGACAGAATTTTCCCATTTTGAGGTTTATTTGGTAGGTACCGATACCTTTTAATTGTTACCCATTGTTTTGTCGACCATTTATTAATAGCTGTAACTCAGGCAACAATGTTTGTAATGTTCGTTAGATTGTAACTATCTTTTCCTCTCTTCCCTGACCGTGTTGGATCGGAGGACTAGGTGTTTATTTCTTGTTTTTCCTTGTTTTGTCGCCTCAGTCTCTGCCTGATGATGGTGGGAATAATAAGCCACCAAAACGTCGCATTGTAAAAAAATTTTTTGTTTAAAATAAATAAAAAGTTATGGTTATACAACTCATGAAGTTCGCTTTATATATATATATATATATCTATATATATATATATATGTGTGTGTGTGAGGGTGTGTGTGTGTGTGTGTGTGTTGTAGTTCTCCTAGCCTTTATGTGTGGTGTAATCATTATTGAAAAAGTTACTAGAACTTATAAATTTTACTTAAGTTTTGGAGTCTTACTCGTTTTTACTTAAGCTATGGAATGGCGTCGAATATTCGTATTCTGTAATTTGTGTCGGTTTTGTTTGCGTAATAAAGGAAGTAATAAGTCTTCAATCTCTTGTTAAATGCTTTATCTCAACAAGGTAGCAGAGCGTGGTTTTGGGTAGTAAAGCGGTGAAAATAGTAATCGTGGGTAACTTTTTTTCGTGATCGCGAGTTCGAGATTCTGGCGTAAAATACACCCCTGAGTATGACCTTGAGTCCTTGAGTATGAAAATGGTTAAGTGTAACGATGTTTTGTTACCCATTTTCGACGGTAATTCATACACAAATTGGAAAAAGCGCATTCTGAAATTTCTCAAGTTTAAAAAGTGCAAAGTGTCAGTGGAGCGAAAGAAGAAGGGTGATGAAGAGCAGAAGGACTAGGAGCAAACGGATGTAAAGGCAACAAACTTCATTTACAGTGCTATTTCTGATAGACAGCTGGAATACGTGAGTAATTTCGAAAGTGCGTATGAAATAATGTAAAAATTCGATAAAATGTATATGGAAGACTCCACTGCGCTCCAAATCGTTGGTCTTTCTAACTTAGAAATTTTAAAATTCAAAGAGAAGACTGACCCTACGAAGTTTTTTGACGAATTTGAAAAGGGCATAAATGAGTTGAAGAATGCTGGAGCAATTCTTTCTGAGGGCGGAAAGTTGAATTATATGCTGAAGGCTTTGCGACAATCCTTGAGTCTTGTTGGTATTATGATTGACGTTTTACCAAAAGCTGAACAAACGGTAGATTACTTGAAAAGTAAGCTGAAGTTAAAGACAAAAGTAGAACAGTATGGTGATGATGCCAATAATCAACCAAGTGAGAGCGGAAGTGTTTTCGTGACTGGAGTAGCTTCGCATAAGACTGTGACCTGTTATACCTGCGGAAAGCGAGGCCATTATCAATCGGAGTGTGTTCAAGAGGTGCGACATGTAACTTGTCATAATTGTGGTAACTACGGACATTATCAGCAGAGCTGTAATCATGGTGTCAATCGGGGTCGTGGTGGTTATGTTCCAAGAAGAGGTTATCGAGAACATCAACGAGGCAACCCCCGTGGTAATCATCATGGAAACAATAGAAGGTGTAATCGAGGGAACTTTAAAAAAATTCACTATATGGGAAGTAATCGAGGCTCTAGAGGTGGACAGCACCAGTCAAGTGATGGAAATGCTGGTACTTTTGTTGCTCAGGTAAACTGCTCGACACTAGAAGAAGATAATCTGTCTTGCAATGAGATAAAATGGTTATTGGACAGTGGAAGTACCGACCATATAATAAATTCTGGATGTTTATTTTTGTAACTCTATTACTTTAGAACAGCGTGTCAAAGTGAGAGTGGGGGATGGAAGAGTGTTAATGGCTACCAAAGTGGGTCAATTAGATGCTACTTTTATAGTATATGGTAAAGAAACTAATGTTAAAATTCCAAACGTGTTTTATCTTAAAGATATGGAAGCGGTATTACTAGGAGTAGCAAAGATAACAGACAACAACACTTTTGTTTACAAAGGGAAATTGGGTAAAATTTATGGCCTCGATAGAAATTTGTCGGCAATCGCAAAAAAAGAAAATAAGTTGTATCGTTTGACTAGATTTACTCGTAATAAGTCTCCTAATATTTAATTAGTTGACAAGAAAGAAAAAGAAAAGATGAGTGTTTAAGAACGTTGGCATCGCACCTTAGGTCATGTAAATCATAAATACTTAACCACAATTTTAAAAATAAGTTGCTTCATGATTTGTCCGAAAGTTAAGAATCTGATTACATGAAACGACACATATGTATTGAGAAAAAGATGCATAATCTTCCATTTGAAAATAATAGAGTTCGAGCCACAGAATGTTTCGAAATCATTCAAACAGATCTAAACGGATCCCATAAAACCTCAGGAGTAAATGGTAAAAGTATTTTTTGACTTTGGCAGAGTCGGTAGGATTTATCTCATAAAGACACAAGATAAAGTGGCGAATTGTTTATTAAACATGTAAATGAAATAGAAAACTTGTTAAATAAACGGGTGATAAAAATTTGGTGTGATAACGGCACCGGAAATCTGAACAAAGATACTTATAATTTTGCAAGAAGAAAAGGTATTCAAATTAAACCATACCTTCCTTATGTGCATGAACTAAATGGCACGGCGGAAATGTATAATAGATCCATTATGGATATATCTAGATATTTACTTGCTGAGGCAAATGTTGAATTAAAATTTTGGCCAGAGATCGTTTGTACCGCTGCTTATTTGAAAAACAGAACCTTAGCAAACACATCCCTAGTAGCAGAACTTTTGGTTTTTCTAAAAAAACATATATAAAAAAACATATCTGTTATCTATAAGGTAGTTTTATAAAAAGAACGTGTAACGCTTAAATAAAAAAAAAATCAAAGTTCAGATCTGACCGTAATATAAAAAATGATATAAACTAGATAAGTGTATTTTTTAAGACAATTTTTTTATTTTTTTATACAACGTATGCATACGAAAGTGTTTAAAGTAAACATTTTCTTGTAACTATTTTATATAATGAAAAAACTTATCATTTTCGTGGGCTTTTCGCAAATTAAAAGTTTTTTTAATATTTTTGCAAAAAGCTCATGAAAATTATGACTTTTTTAAAATAACGGTTACATGAAAATGTTCACTTTTAACACTTTCGTATGCATGCGTTCTATAAAAAAAATTAACTTTCGTGCATACTCTTTATCATTTCCTTCTATAGTTCTGCTACTAGGGATTAGAAAGGATAACTCCTCTTGAAATAATATTTAACCAAACACCTAGTGTAAAGTATCTACGCCTCTTTGGTAGTGCAACGTTCGTGAGAGTTGCAGAAGATAAGCGAGCATCAAAATGGGATAGAAAAGCAGACAAAGGTATTTTGCTTGGATATACAGAAGAAGGTTACAAAGTTTTTCTAAGCGGTAAGGTAATAATGGCAAGGCATGTGGATATTATTGAAGAAGATGTACACTGTATTAGTTTTAAGGTTGAAATTGATACAGATGATAATTTAGAATCAGGCAATGAAGAGAAATGTGAAGAAAAATATGAAAGACCTGTTAGAGAACGAAAAAAGCCTGCACGATTTGATGATAATTATGTTTACTATCGTGCTTATGTTAATTATTGGAATAATTGTATACCTGAATTTTATGAGGATGCAATAAAGAGCAATGAAGCTGACAAGTATAATGAGGCAATGATGAAGGAGCTTAATAGTTTAAACAAAAATGATACATGGTCTCTTGTGAACATAGCAGTAGATAAAGAAGTATTAAATATAAGTGCATTTTTCCTAGAAAGGCAGAAAACAATCATGAAACTAGGCTAGTTGTGAGAGGTTTTCAAGAGATAGAATTAACAGAGGAAACATACTCTCCTGTAACAAAGATGGAAACTTTAAAAATGTTGTCGAATTGTTGTCAGATTGGATTGGATATGCATCAAATGGATGTCGAAACGACATTTTTAAACAGTAAAATAAATTCTGAAGTTTATGCAAATCAGCCACGAGGTTTTGCAAAAGTAGAAGGGAAAGTCTACAGGCTAAAAAAGGCTTTGTGTGGATTGAAAGAAGGCCCACGGGTGTGGTATGATTGCTTTGATGATCATTTGATAAGTATAGGTTTCGAAAGAGGTTTAATAGAAATCCGTCTTTCGTATTGAAAAATCAAAAAGGTGAGGTTGTCTATATTATCGTATCTGTCGATGATTTACTAGTTTGTAGTAAAAGTGTGTCGCATATTAATTATTTAAAAAACAAAGTAAAAGCAAAATTCCGTATGAAAGATCTTGGTAAAATTTAAAGCTATCTAGAAATAGATGTAAATTACAATCTGCGCACACAGGTAATGACACTTAGTCAAAGTGAATATATTGCTAAGTGAATATATACTAGCTCAAAAATATGGCATAAAAAATAGCAAATTGTGTAAGACACCAATGGAGGGAAACATGAAATTGGAACCAGCTATTGAATGTGGAGACTTACCTAAAAGAAATCTAAAAGGATCCCTTCTGTACGTTAGCTTTGCAACACGGCCGGATATTGCATTTTCTGTTAACTATTTGAGTAGATTTATGACTACTTGTGATGAAACACACTTTAATATGCTCTGAGTGTACTGAAGTACGTATATTTAACAAAAGATTTGAAACTAATTTATGAAAAATCAGCTAATCCTGAAATTTTAGTTTGTTTCTCAGACTCTGATTGGGCCGGAGATTGTGTAGATAGGAAGTCAACCTCTGGGTTTATCATACACTTTTTCGTAAACTTAAAGTGTTTTGGAAGACAAAAAAAAACAACAGAATATTCTTACTAAAAGTAGTACACTTGCTAAGTATGTTGCTTTGTCGGGAGCCATCTCAGAATTATTATTTGTTAAATAATTAATTAAATTTGTTGATATTGAAATGTTAAGGTCAATCAAGATGTTTGAAGATAATTCAGGAGTCTTAGACATACCTCAGTGTGGGGATTTAACCAAAAATTCCAAACATATCGAGACTCATTATCATTTCATTAATGACAACTATAAAAAGAGAGTAATTGACATTATACTAATTGATTCTGATGAGAACACTGCCAATTTACTTACGAAACCACCTAGCAAAATTAAATTTGAAACATTTCGTCAAAATTTAAATTTAAAGTAAATGAAACGTTAAAAGCATCAAGTGAAAAAGGTCTGAAAAAGGTTTTTAATAAGTTTAGGAATTAAAACACAAATTTGAGGAGGCGTATTGATCGAAATAATTTGTTGGAATTTTTTGTAGCAAATTTGTATTTAAATTAAAGTGCCTCTAGTATTGAAAATATTTGTAAATTCATCTTTGTACTTAAAAGATAAATTTAAGGAGGCGCGTTGATTATGTTAATGTACGCTACAGGGCAGCACTTGTTGATACTTCTCAAGCTTGTATGTGTGTGTAAGTCTCATCGTCGTTGTTAGCTATGGAATGGCGTCGGATGTTCGTATTCTGTCATTTGTACCGGTTTTGTTTGCGTAATAAAGAAAGTAACAAGTTCTCAATCCGTTGTTATACGCTTTATCTCAAGAGAAGTAGACTATCCTCAGATCAGGACAGTAAAGCATGTACAGACTATATTGGTAGAGTAAAAAGAATTATTATAATCTCATTTTATAATTCATGGGTCTCTCTTACACATACGAGACTAGTTACCTGTTCTAATCTTCCCCTTGCAACAACTTCTGGGGCAATTTTACCGGTGGCTAACATGATATCACGAAAATTGAGGGCCCCAAAGTAGACGTGTATCAGCGATTCTTCATGGGCTTTTCGGCCTTTCATTCTGATAAATAAAAAGAGGAAACAAAAAATGAGAGAATCATTGCCGGGAGGAATCATCTGTTCAGGTTGTCAATATGACTGAAATGATAGCCAGAGGAAGAATTTAATTTCTAATTTCTAATTTTTCAGTTTTTTCTTTAAATTTTGTGTTGACTCTAGGATTCTTCTTGGTAAGTATGAGGAGCCCAATACAGATAGATTGAAGACCGAAGTCATACAGAGTGGGCAAAAATTATAGAAACAGTAGTAATCGGATATAACGACCCTCTAGGGACCGGCCTAATTTGGTCGTTATACCCGATTGTCGCTATAACCGATGCACAAATACACTGAGTCAATGGGAAGTCAATCACGGTTACGACCTAATCGCACGTCTTTATGACCGATATATCGTTGTAACCGATGTCGGAATATCCGATTTCCCCTGTACTTGTTGGTATCCCAGGAACTGTTCTAGATACCTATCAACATGTGGACATATGGACAAGACTTCTTAAAAATGAAGTGAGCACATTTTGTGAGGGGGTCATCACTCCCAGAACTTTGACAATTTTAAAATCTCAAATCGGAACCCCCTTCGTGTGATACTTCGTTGGAAAGATCAAATATAAAAAAAAAAATTGGCACAAAGCACATGTAGCTATATATCACCGTTTCGAAATGGCGGCCAGTTAAAGTTCAAAACAAGATAAAATGATATCTCTGTTGTTCATTGACTGATGAAACTTGGCATCCAGGGAGTTTTGAGGCATGAAAAAAACGAATCTGATTCTGATGCCCCAATAAATAATGATGTCACTGCTGAAGTTTGGGGCTAATTTTTTGAAGATCTGAATAATGAAATCATGAAAGTTGGGCCTGATCGGGAAGCAACTTTTATGGATAATTCAAATAGCAGAACGGGACGGTGCGCTCTAACTGCAGAGGAGTTGGAGCGTTTAGGAAGGATGTTTTTCATCATTTATACTTGCAATTTATTTTTAACATGAAGATATCCACAAATATACGTAAGGCCAATCAATTTAAAAATTGAAATCCTTCTATTGAAATGTGTTGCAAATAAATAGAAATAAGTTGATTTTTTTTTTTTTTTTTTTTTTTTTTTTTTTTTTTTTTTTTTTGCATTGCAAATTGCCATCCAAACGTGGAACTCATTGTATCAGTCGTTCAACTTGACAATTTATGACCGAATGATGCAAAAATATTTCAATTTCAAGGTAAAAAATACAATTCCACTGCATTAAACTGAGAAATTATTCAAACGGTTTCGTTTTACTGTGCAACGAAAGGCATGAAACACTAGGGTAAGAATTTCTTGAGTATTTAAACGAAGGCACTCACTTCTCAGGTTCTATCTCTCCTTCGAACCACTGAAGCGATGATAAGTCCCCACGCACTGTAGTGTTGACATAACGATGGACGGCCTTGATAGAGGAGAGCTCCTCCAGAAGGAGGTGCCGGTAGCTGCCCCATTTGCCATCTTTGTAAATGTTCACAGCAAGATCCTTTGATAGCTGCTCTTTGTAAAAGGGATGGTTGACGGAAAAGGGTGGAGCCTTTTTGTCCATGACTAGAACACATCTATCACACAAAGTTTCGTTCTTTATTTTGAACGGATTAACAACAATCATTTATTCTTATTCTTAATTTTTGTTCCAGTAAGCCCTTGTATCAAAACCCAAGTATCAAAAGAAACCTAAATTTTCAATAATTTCTAGAAGGTCTTCCCAGAATGGTCGATTTCTTCGCAACTCTGGTTGCTTTTAATAGGTCAAAAGCACCCATTTTTTTAAATTCATTATTTAAAATGGAAGAGTGAACTACGATTCTCAGATTTTTTTAAAGATTTTTTAACTCTGAATGAAAATATTTTTTAACATATTGAAAACACCATGAAGAGATGAGACAAAGTTTGAAAACTAAACCTAACCTTAAATTTCGTTTGTCCAATTTTAATTCTAAAATGTAATTATTAAGAATATTTATCTTAATTTTGCTTATTTTTCTATTTTCAGTTCAGGTCAGTGTAGGTATTGGTTACTATGAATTTTATTATATTTTGAAATTTGTATCTTTTCCCTTTAGAAAATTCTCATTTTGTCAATTTCCTACTCGTTAGTATCAAAGACATTGAATCACTTAAACCGCGCGTCCGGTTCGGTTTAGTACAGACGGAGCGAAGCAAGTCTCTCGGAGCCCCATGATGGGCGAGCGGGAAAGAAGAGAGAGCGTGTCTCCCAAGAACTCGAAGAGGCTGCACAGGGGCAATGGAGAATTCATGCCCGCGCTCAGTTTTTCACGAATATCTCGTTTAGAGTCCATTTTCAGACAAAATTCCTAAGAAGAAAAGTTTTAGAACACATAATTTTACACCCGAATAGCATTGTTTCATTTTTCCGAACTAATTATTAACCAAGGAAAAAAGCCTCACAATCCGACAAAAATTCATTGGAGCCATTACTGCGCATGCGCAGATGTGCACAATTGGGACACACGAGCTCATCGATGCGGGTCGGTGCCACCACTCATCGGCATGCGAATTTTTAAAAGTTGTTTCGCCTTCCGTAACACATGGATGCACGGTCTACGTGATTCAATGTTTTTGGTTAATATTTTTTGTTAATACGAGGTAAATTTTGCAACGTTGGTCGAGCAAATCGAAAAACCAAGGGGTGTTGGCACATCTAGAGCCTAAGAGCTTTCATTTCAAACAAATCGAAGGAAAGTCGGTCTGGTAGTTTCCGAGATCGAATTAGCACAAACTGTCCAAACTGAAGGAGGACAAAAAAAGCCTTAGGATATTAAAAATATAGATAGATACATATACAGGGTTATTCAAAAGTCACGCACCACTGGCCATAACTTAGGTTCTAATTATGATATCGACTTGCGGTTTAAGAAGCTTTTCCTCATATCGAGGGGGAAACTTTTTTAGGTGCTTTCCAGTTTTTGATCCGCCCGGAGGGGCGAGGGGGGCGGGGGGGGGGGGGCAACACAAAAATTTCAAATGGCCACCCCGCTCATGGCCATTAGTGCGTGACTTTTGAATAACCCTGTAGATTTTCTATGGACTATTTAGCGGACACTAAAGTAACATATGTATAGCTATAGCCAGGGCTGCAGAGCGAAGAATGTAAAAAAGCAGACTGACTCTAAAAGCGGTTAAAAAAGTTTCAACCTGAAAAGGACCCCGTATATTTGAAGTCTCTCTGTAAAACACATTTTCATGGGGAAAAAGGTATAGGTGAGTCCCTCAGAGTTGCAGTTTTATCACAGAAATGCAAGAGTATTACGCGTAAGTATCAGTCCCATCACCTACATGAAAAATACGCATCACATTGTTCAATACATTACTTCATTAATTTTCCTTTGTGTTCCTCATAATTGGATTACATTTTGCAATAAGGAACCACAATCTCTGGCTCTTTCATAAAAGCACCTCTCTGCATAGGGGAACGGATGGTTCATATGTTGTTTCTATGATGAGCCAAAAATAGAGGTTCCTTATTGCAAAATGTGGTCCAATTATTATTCTAACAAGAAATTTAGAAGAAAGTGTTACACACATTCGTTGCACAGGGTAGATAAATTTGCTAAAATTATGTGAGGGAGACACCAACTTAAAACTTCCCTAAATCATACTCGATTTATATTTAGTAGGTACAAATAAAGTCCATAAATACAGGGTGTAACAAAAGTCCGTCCCACCCCTGCTAACTTTTGAACGAATTGTGCTAGGGAAATGAAAATTTAAACTTTAAACGGTCAAATTTAATTACCTTAAATTTCGTTTTTTTTAACTTTTCCCGAAATTTGGGGACTTGCCAACGTAATATTGAACTGATTTTGACCCTACTAACATAATGTGGAGGCAAATCTAGAGGAAATTGGCTTATTTCGCGGGAAAATCGAATGACCTTTGAATTGACGTATTTGGGGGGTCCGAACCCCCCCTTAAAATTAATTCGAAGTGATTTATGCAATTTTTACTGAAAAGCGAACAAAATTTGGTAAATTTTCCCGTATTATTTTTTTCTTTACGATAATTTGAACCGGAGTTATGACTTTTTGAAAATAGTTCAAATTTGACCTTTGACCTACCATGACTCGGTCAGAAATTAATATATTGATCTGCGGTTTGCGCCAAAATTCTTAGTTTTTTATGCTCTTTTGAATGAGGTATCACAAGATATGGGTTGCAGTTTGAAAAAATAAGTTGGGGGCCCCCGTCTCCCTGAGGGGGAGACCAAAATTTTGACCCCCCCCCCAAAAAAAAGATGGTCCCCTTTGAGATAGGATCATTCCTAAAGTTTCATTTCCCTAGCACAATTCGTTCAAAAGTTAGCAGGGGTAGGACGGACTTTTGTACACCCTGTATGTACCTACCTGGTGCGTTCTCCACCGGCCTCTTTGCGAATACAATTGAAGAAACCAAGAAGACCATTCAATGGTTCTTTCTCCGCATAAAGGATGATTTTTTGCTTAGTTGAGGAATCCTCAGCTTTCAGTGCATTTTGAAGTTCTGTGATCCACTCGAAATTATTTGCAGGAACTTTGATGACGATTGGTTCCAATTTTTCCGTGATTTCCTTAAAGTATGGGTTAAAACATAAGATATACAGTTGATACAATTGTACAGTTGTACAGTTGTACAGGGTGATCCAAAAGTCCCTTCCACCCCCTCTACCTTTTTACCTAATTTTAGTAAAGATTTGAAACTTGGGGGATGTTTCTAGGTCAAAGGGAGCTACTTTTTGGCCCTCCTAAAATTTTCAGGGGGGGCCCCTTGGTTACCTCAAACTTTTAATTTCCAAATGGGAAGACTCCCTTTGTGATAGCTCCTTCGAGAGAGCAAATAAAAGAAAACTCTTCGCGCAGACCCGAAGTCAACATCTCAAACCGTTTAAAAATGGCGGCTGGTTAAAGTTCAAAATGACCGAAAATTCAAACTGGTTATTTGTCGACGGATTTGCGCGAAAATCGATTTCTGGAAGTATTTTGGCACGAGAAAAACGAATTTGACGTTAGATTTTAAAAAACCCGAAATTTCCATAATGGCCACTGGTTAAAGTTCAAAATGGCCGAAAATTGCCACCTCGGTTTTTTGCGGATGGACTTGCCCAAAACTTGGAACTTGAGGGTGTTTTGGCATGAGATTAACACATTTAAACTTGGATTTATAAAACAAACAATTTTCGGTCATTTTGAACTTTAACCGGTGGCCATTTTGGAAATTTCGGTTTTTATAAAAAAAAAATCTAACGTCGAATTCATTTTTCTCGTGTCCAAATACCGCTATATACCGATTTTCGCGCAAATCCGTCGACAAATAACCGGTGTGAATTTTCGGCCATTTTTAACTTCAACCGGCCGCCATTTTTAAACGGTTTGAGATATTGATTTCGGGTTTGCGCGAAAAATTTCTTTTTTTATGCTGTTTCGAACGAGCTATCACCAAGAGGGTCTTCCAATCTGGAAATGAAAAGTTGTGGTCCGTTGCCCCCTCCAGGGGCCCCCTGAAAATTTTAGAGGGGCCAAAAAGTAGCTCCCTTTGACCTAGGAACATCCCCCAAGTTTCAAATCTTTACCTCAATTAGGTAAAAAGTTAGAAGGGGTGGAAGGGACTTTTGGATCACACTGTATATTGCATTATGCATATGAAATTAATTATACTAAGTAAGTACCTAGGTATGCCACTACAAAACTGAAATGAGAGGTAAAAACTGGACGGTAAGAGTTCCGTTGTATCCTTCTCAGAGCTCCAAAACGGAAGATATTGACCATGGAGAAAACGAAGTGCGAATCCATTGAAGAGAGGAAATGTAAATTTTACCCCCAAAAATGGGCACCCTGGCATAGCGAAACATTTCACAGATCTCCTTTAGCAAAGTTTCACATGGGTATTTGGGTCGTAAATTTTACACAAGGGGTTCCAGACTACATCCATTCTCAATAACATTTGACCTGGAGAAATTCAATGGAAATTTTTTCAACCCCCCCCCCCCAAGCCTCAAAGGGTTTTTTTTCCACAGACCACTGCCCATTCCTTAAAGTTTTATATATTGACTTAAACATCGAATCTTTCAATTGAAAATATGAGTTTGTGGCTTAAAACTTCCTCTCTATTCAGGTAAGAGGATTTTGGGGTAATTTTCGGTGGGTTGATAAGGAGACCAAAGGAACCGCTTGAGAATGCCCCAAAAGGATCTATGGGAAAAATCTTAAAACAGAAAGTTTGCATTTTTTAATGTAAAATTTGACTCTAAGATCAAATCATGCAAGGTCTATTTGAAAACTACAAGAAAAAGGTAGGTATTCTCCCAAAATGACCCCAGGAGAGGAACAAACCAAAACGACCACTAAAAAAATTTCCACTGATTCTTTTGGGTCATGTTGGGGCCGGAAAATTTTAGTTGCAAGGATCTATCTTGAGCCGCTGTCGAGGAAAAATAAAGGACAAGCTTCAAGATCGCCCATCCATGAGATCTAAATCTCATGAGCTCCAAAATTACTCGAAAATCAAATATGGTGGTTAAAGAGGCTGTTTGCAATGATACGAACATGAAGAAGTTGAGATACATAACGTCTGTGTCCGTAAGGCCGTAAGGCGTGTAAGTGCATGGATTTTACTTGAAGTACAGATTCATGGTAATTTTCAGTCTCAAATTGTACGGACTTACCCTGCGGATTATCAGAATTCGTTCACTTCCACAGATTCTGTTCATTGAGATGGATAAGCCATCTTCGGGTACCTTCTCCGTGATTTTTTCTCGAGCAATCATGAAACCACCATCTTTCAGCGCATTCAGTGCTAACTGCAGCACCTATCCACAAGAGATAAGGAGGCTAAAATTAATACAGTGAAATCTAGTCAAAGCAGAGGTATCGCAGAAAAGGTTGCTTGTTTCCTGGAGCTTTTTTCTCAGGAGATCTCAGCAAAGGAAATTTTAGGGTTGCGTGACCTGGGTTCGGTTGTTGAGCAATGGTTATAAGACTTCTATGACCAAATTGAAGGCTTAAGAGATAGAGCCTGAGCTTATTTAACCTCAGTTATAGGGTGTCCCTTATGAGGTGTTTAGGTTTTTGAGACACAAATCAGAGCTTATTGATCGGATTTTGCAGGAAATTAAAGTGATTTTGATGCCGGACTTTAGTAGATAAAATTTACTGATAGTAGGTTTCCGGTGTAGGTTTTGAGCGTGTGACTTTGTGTGAGCGCGCACAGGTTTGGATGGGGCGGGAGGTTGCGTATGGATGCAGGTGTGTTGGGAGAGGAAAAGCAAGAATCAATTACCTCAGGTCGCCCAACAATGGAGGAAACAACAACGATGTGACAGGACTGATCTCCAGGTAACTTTCTATCTTCAACCTGTATACCAGGAGCCATATCAGCCACTACAGGATTGTCTGATGCAGATAGCACGGTAATATCAGCCTAAACGCAGAAAGAATGTGAAAAAAAGAAACAAAGATCAAATTTCCTGTGTATCAGACAGCACCATGCAGTTTCACAAGTTAATACATGAAGCTGTGTGAATGCTTCAGCACAAGAACACACAAATAAGAAAGTAAAGAGGATTGTATTAAATTGACTTTCTTCGGTAGGTAGCAAGGAGAGATTATTTGTTACTTTTCGGAATACAATTACGAACTGACCGTTTCTGAATAAGCCTAAAATTTAGGTGCATTTATTGATTTCGACATACCACTTTCAGCTTCTCTCCTTACTTCCCACTTCTTTCTTCTTACTTCTCTTTTTCTGTTATTCTCCCATGGCATCGATACAGCACCTCAATTAATGAATCTCTGAGTGCAAAAGGAAGTTAATCTGTGCTTTGTTAGAAAATGTTTCTATTGTTTGGAAAATGTTTGTTATCCGTCAAAGCTGTAGGTGCACCCTAAAAATAAATAAGCTGATTCTGATAATATGGTCCTCTTAGAATATGAAAATGATCAGAAAATAAAGCTGCAAGAAATTACATATTAATACCTGAATCAGAGGTAAATCCCCAAGAGAGGTAGCCAAGATGGTTGAAATTAATGGTACATCCGGGTTCATGAAAGCGTCAGCCATCTCTACAGTTTTGACTTTGATGCTTGGGAGATTCTCCAAAGCCAGCTGCACAGCTACTCTCACGACTTCTGCCAAATCTGAACTCTAAAAAGTAAAATCAATGTGAAATTACGAGGAAATAGGCAGCTAAATATTGTTGAATCCTTTGGTGTAATACCCGAGCATCACACTTTAATGGAATCAACATTACATTCATTTGAAAATTCACGTACCTACCTTTTCAATTTTTCATTAAAACCCATACGGGATTTCTTCCACGAAGTGTTCATGGACCTCATACATACTGTCAATTACGTATGGATGTATCGCACGCATTTAACAATTTAAGGCGAATAGCCACCTGCCTCGGCGAATAAGAAGCAAAAAGCGGCGGCCTTGTGGCAGCCTAGGCAAGTAGCAAGCCGCCTACGCAAACAGCACGTTGCCTAGGCACACAACAAGTTGCCTACGCAAATAACATTACGGAATATCAGGCAAATAACAATCGATAGGTAGATAAAGGAACATTAATTGAAAAGTTTACCTTTATTTGTTACAGCAGGCTACGGATCCAAGGCACTGGCTATTACACTTTCTATTGTTCTTGAAATATGAGCACCGTTTCGTTTCGCATTGAGTCTTGCTTTTTGTACAGTTACATTTCACAGACCCTTGCCCGTTGTACAAGGAATGGACGGCTGCCGCCTCTCTCAACGAAACTGTTATTTTGAGGGGCACTTCTCCGATCTTAAGGGTGGAAGTCGGAACATCCTGTAACGCATTCCGTGAGATTTACTGTTCCAGAATACCGGCCGCGGTTGTCACTTTATACTTGTCATGTTTCACCTCTGTAATCAATCCCGGGATACCTATTACGGGATATTACACGAGGGGACCACGATCAAATTCCGAGACATTCACGACAACTGCGGCACCAACTTTAAGGTGTGGAAATAGAAAATTGTTTCTTGAAGTCATTTTTTCTGCTGCTTTCAGTTGTCCTTGATGAGATTTGCTCCTTGATGTTGTTTTTATCATTTTCGGCAGTCCTTGCGTGTAACTCTGTGTTATCAGTAGAGTGTTTTGGTCACCTACCTTCAAACTCCACTTGGTGCATCGTAGTGTTTCGTATCTGGTTGCCAGATCATTACGATAAAAAATCTTATTTCGATGAAAAGTTAGATTGTTATTTGCCTGAATTCTGGTTCAGCTCTAGCTTGCCTAGGAAAACAGCAAGTTGCAGCAAATTGCCTAGGCAAATAGTCATCTGCCTGGAGAAATAGGCATGATTGCTGCTACTTGCCTAGGCAGATAACTATTCGCCTAAAATTGTTAAATGCATGTGACAGATACAATCTTCAGTAATATGCATATTTATGTTTCCATACAGATAGATTCTAGAGGAAAATCGTATTAATTCCATCAAGTAGCCTCTTCTAGAGCTGTAGGATTATTCAAAAGTTAGTTGTAATTGCGATTAATTTTTTATTCGTGATCGCAACGAATTGAAAAATTAATCGCGATCGAGTCCATTAATTGGACTTAATAATATTTCAAATTTTCTGCCATGTTTGGAATTTGAAATACTATTGCCACGTTCGTTTGAATTTGTGTAACCACTAGCGCAATGCTAGCCTCTAGCGGTAAAACATTATAATTATATTGTGAAAAACCCGTGAAAATACCCACACCCAACATTACTTACAAGTTTAATACATTACTAAGTAAAGACGTTTAACGCCATGGAAGCTAAACAAAAGAAATTAAACTCAACGCAATACATTGTTATGGCTGTTCAGGACCCTCAAGTGGACAACTCATGTGGACACAATTGAAGAAAGAATTATTACAAAAATTTCCTGGAATGCTAATAGTCTCTTGAAGCGCAAGATGGAATTGATGAAGTTAATCAACGAAGAAAACTTAGAAATTTGTCTAATACAGGAAACACTCTTTACGAATGAATCATACTACTTCTATGCCAATTAATAACTATAAGTTTTATTAAGCCGTTCACCCGGACGGCATGGCACACGGAGGCGCGAGAACACTAATTAAGAAAAACATTCAGCATCACTTGTTTAATTCCATCTCAAGTAATAACTTTCGAGCTATGGCTCTAGAAGTCAAGTGCGAAACAGAGAAGTACTATTATTGCTTCTGCAAACGCTCCTCCAAACCATAATAACAAGGAAATTGACTACTTATGCAAACTTTATAAGTGAATTTGGCAATAGGTGTTTCTTAGCAGGTGACTGGAATGCATAAATGTGTTTTGGGGTCCCAAAAAAAGTTAATACAAAATTAATACAAGGTATATTTTAGGTGAATTTCATGAGTTGTATAACCGTTTGATTTATTTTTTATTTACTTCAAAATTTACATTGCGACGTTTCGGTGGCGTATTTCCACCTTCATCAGGCACAGACTGAGGAGACAAAATAAGGAAAACAAGAAATAAACACACCTAGTCCGCCGATCCAACACGGTCCATACTTGGCTTCATGCTCTGAAAAATTAAGTGCCGCAATAAAACCATTTGGATTATCGCTAGTACCTAACAACAAATAAGTGTAATTTGAAAGGATTCAAATCAGCTCTAAAAACCAAAATCCCAAACGAGAAAATGTCCGACGTGCTTTACGAAATTCCATGCAAAGGGTGCCCAGGGGTTTACATTGGGCAGACATCACAGTACGTACATAAGCGTCTTGACGGACACAAGTTTAATAAGCATGAAAAAACGGCTCTTAAGCAGCATGTAAAAGAAACAAACCACCAGTTTGATTATGATAACACCAGAGTGCTAAAACAAGAGAAAAATGAGCAGGTCCGTTTAAACTTAGAGGGGTTCAGCATTCTTAAAAATAGCAACGCCCTGAATTCAAGGACGGAATTTTCCCAATTTGAGGATTATTTGGTAGGTACCGATACTTTCTAATTGTTAACCATTAAAATTTTGTCGACCATTTATTAATAGCTGTAACTCAGGCAACAATGTTTGTAATGTTCGTTGGATTGTAACTATCTTTTCCTCTGTTCCCTGACCGTGTTGGATCGGAGGACTAGGTCCGAAACGTCGCAATGTAAATTTTGAAGTAAATAAAAAATAAATCAAACGGTTATACAACTCATGAAATTCACCTAAAATATACCTTGTATTAATTTTGTATTAACTTTTTTTGGGACCCCAAAACACATGT